TGGTAGAGGTTAAAAGGTTTAAAGACAGAATAATATCGTTAAGAGTAATTGTTGGAAAAGATACTATCAATATCATTAGTGCCTATGCACCTCAGGTTGGGGCAGAGACACACCTTAAAGATAAGTTCTGGGAAGATATGAAGGGGTTGGTTCAAAGCATACCACTCGAAGAAAAAAATTTTATCAGTGGGGACCTTAATGGACATGTCGGTAAGGAAGCAGGACAATTCAGCGGGGCCCATGGTGGTTTTGGTTTTGGGGAGCTTAATAGTGGAGAACAATCTATTCTCGACTTTTCTCTTGCATATAATCTTAAGATTGTCAACACTTGTTTTAAGAAGCGAGAGGAGCATTTAATCACGTACAAAAGTGGTGTCTCAAAATGACAGATTGATTTCTTTTTGGTTAAGAATCCAGATAGAAGATTGTGTACTAATTGCAAAGTGATTCCAGGAGATGGGGTGACTGCCTAACATAGAGTACTTATTCTTGATGTACGTTTTAAGAGTACCAGGCAAAAGTATCATCAAGTGGTAAAACCCAGGGTTAGGTGGTGGCAGTTAAATGGTGAAAAATGAGAGTTATTCAAAAGGACCCTTGTGGAGGAAGGGATTTGGGAGTCGCAGGGAAATGCAAACATGATGCGGGAAGAGATAGCTACAAGGGTTCGTTTGGTAGGTAAAGAAATTTTGGGAGAATCCAAAGGTCCTAGTCAGAGAGATAAGGAGACTTGGTGGTGGGATAAGAGTGTGCAAGAGAAAGTCAAACAGAAAAGAGATTGTTTTAAGGCCATACACTCGTGCAATAGTGTAGAAAACCGGGAAAAGTATCAGTTGGCTAAAAAAGAGACGAAGAAAACAGTGAGCGAAGCACATACTAAAGCTTATAAAGGGTTTTATCAGGAGTTAGGAACAAAGACGGGAGAAAGAAATATTTACAAGATTGCGAAGCAAAGGGAGAGGAAAAAGAGAGATTTGGACCAAGTAAAGTGTATAAAGGATGAAGATGGTAAAGTGTTAGTTACTGATGGTGATATTAAGGACAGATGGGAGGCTTATTTTTACAAGTTGTTTAATGAGGGAAGCAATTATGCGACTCAGGACTTACAGGACTTGCTAATTAATGAAGATGATCAGAATTTGGCTTTCTACTGCAGGATTCGTATTGGAGAGGTTAAGGCAGCTCTCAAGAAAATGGACAATGGAAAAGCCGTTGGGCCTGATGGTATCCCTATTGAAGTTTGGAAATGTCTGGGAGATGAGGGTAAGGTGTGGCTAACCAAGCTTTTTAATGAAATTTTACGTTCTAAGAATATGCCAGATGAGTGGAGGAGAAGTATTTTAGTTCCTATTTACAAGAATAAAGGAGACATTCAAAACTGTGCAAGCTACAGAGGGATAAAACTTATGAGTCATACAATGAAGTTGTGGGAAAAAGTGATGAAATATAGGTTGAGGCTGGAGACTTCTATTTCAGAAAACCAATTTGGATTTATGCCAGGGAGATCCACTTCGAAAGCAATCTATTTACTAAGAGGGTTAATGGAAAGATATAGAAATAAAAGAAGGGATTTACATATGGTCTTTATTGACCTGGAAAAGACTTACGATCGTGTGCCAAGAGAAGTAATGTGGAAGGCTTTGGAAAAAAAAAAGTGTATGGGTTGCTTATATCAAAACCATACAAGATATGTATGAGGGGGTAACTATCAGTGTAATGACGCTTGGAGGTGAGACAAAGGATTTCCCTATTCAGATTGGCCTACATCAGGGATCCTCTTTGAGTCCGTACTTGTTCAATATTGTTCTGGATGTTCTAACTGAACCTATTCAAGAAAGAATCCCTAAGTCCATGCTTTTCACGGATGATATAGTTCTCATGGCGGAATCAAAAGAAGAGATTAACACTAGATTGGAGTTATGGAGAAGGACGTTGGAGTCGAAAGGTTTCCGCTTGAGCAGGAACAAAACAGAATATATGCATTGTGATTTTGGGGGAGGTAGGGCAATGGGGATTTGGAGGTGAAGATGGGGGAGCAAATCATTCCTCAAGTATCAAAGTTTAAATACTTAGGATGTATTATATAGGAGGATGGAGAAATTGATGGAGACGTTTCTCATAGAATACAAATTGGTTGGTTAAAGTGGAGGAAAGCTATTTGAGTTATTTGCGATAAGAAGGTATTTGAGAAACTTAAAGGAAAATTTTATCGGACTGCTATAAGACCGGCTATGTTGTATGGTAGTGAATGTTGGGCAATAAAGGGAAAACAAGAGCAGAAAGTTGGGGTAGCAGAAATGAGGATGTTGAGATGGATGTGTGGTCATACAAGAAAAGATAAGATTCGAAATGAAAATATCAGAGCAAGAGTCGGTGTGGCACCTATCCAAGAGAAAATGGTTAAAAATCGTTTAAGATGGTTTGGACATGTGTAGAGAAGGCCATTGGAAGCCCTGGTGAGGAGGGTGAATTAGACAAGATGGAATCCCATAAAAAGGAACAGAGGAAGACCAAGAAGAACGCTTAATGAGGTCATTGAACGAGACCTCCTAGTCAACAACATATCTAAGGACTGGGTTGTTGACAGAGCACGATGGCGTCGTATAATTCATGTAGTCGACTCCACCTAGTGGGATAAGGCTTGTTGTTGTAGATCTTGTAGAAATTATAGATGGCATTCTTTAGGAAGTAAAATTTGCCTGTTGTTGATATGCAGATTATGAGCTTGTTTGGACCTCCATTCAAAACAGACTTTTAAGCAAGTTTACGTAAGCCGAGATAAAATTTTCCTCGCATACTTACTTCGTATTCTGTAAATCATGTTTGAAAAGTTACTTATAAGTCAATCCAAACAAGTCCTGCCTTATCTCTTTTCCTTGAAAAAAAGTGACTTTATTAGGAGGTGAAAAGTACATAGAACTAGGATAAGATCATAAGAAAGAATTAACTCAGGTTCTATGACCTGATCTCTTTGTCAGCCCTTCCTACTCAACTCCTAAGAGATAAAATGGGCAAGAGCAGTCAGAAAAAGCAAGGCTACCAAAATAGGTGTGGTGTGAGAAGAAACATCTTTTAAATCACCAGACCTTTTTGCTTCAACCACAGGCACCGCGACACTAAGCAATGGGAGGACACCTTTCACTCCCTTAGTCCTTCCGTGAACCAAATTCTATAAAACCAGAACAATATTCTAGAGACCGGATTAAGGCCAAATGCCAATCCCTAATTTTCGATGCAACCTCAACATGCTAAATTTTTGTTTGTCTCTGAACTCCAAAAGGGCAAAAACAAATCGGAAGAATTAGGAGGAAGAACCTTGTTAGATGTATATATGAATTTGCAATTGATATTATGTAAATCTTGAATCTTTAGTTTCTATATTTGGTGCTTGCAGTTTTCTTTTGGCCATGAGTACTGGCAGTATCTTTGATTCAAAAATATGGTGGAAAAACTACAAACACACTCATGTCGTTATAGGATTTACATATTTCCTAATTCGTGTTAGTTCCTTTTTGTGTTATTACTAATCACCATGTCGCTAAATATTAATTTGATATAGCTTCGAGCAGTTATGTCAGCTAAAGCTCTGTGGACATTATTTGGTACTAGGGTTTTCAATGATGTTGAAGACCCATCTGTATTGATTATTGTTTGGATCTTAGCATGGAATATCTAAGCTCTGGACCCCAGTTCTAAATAGCAAGTCTTATTAGCTTGATATTTTTTGCCCACCATTTGCTGATTTGTTGCATGTAATGGTCAAGGCCCAACTCCACAGTTAAAGTACCTCAATAATGATATCAACGATCTAAAACCAGCTGTGAAAGTCTTTAGACAATAATGCTCCTCCCTCTCAGTACTGGGCAAGCTTGATATTTCACAAAGGGCAGGCAACAAACATGAAAGTAGATCATCAAAATAATAGAGATTATTGTTTGATAGATCATTGCTTTTCTGTGTGCCGCGATTCTATGTGCTATGCCCTGACCGTTTTTTATTCCTTCTTAAATTAAGCTCACATTACTTGACTAGCTCTAAAGGGAGCAGACTGTAATTTTAGTCAGACAGTGCTTCTAGAAAAATCCTGAGATGTTGTACACTGGAATCGGACTAAGATGGGTTAAACTTACACGGACTTTATAGTGCTGATGTGCTATGTGATGGGAACATTTTCTTATAGCAACCTTTTTTCTGAAGTACGCGTACTTCTAAAATAAGAGGGTATTGTGATCTTTTTTCATTCTTACTTATCTTAGGTCTTTTTTATACTCAGGAATTTTGTAGACCAGAGTGCATGCCCCCACCTGCTTTACCTTTCTGAGGAAGAAAAAAGTATTGAAGAGCTTTGAGTATTCTTCGTCGGTAGTAAAGACAAATTTCCCTTGGATACGGACCTAGTGGCAAATGACTGAGATGAACTCTGCATAGAAGAAAGGAGTATTTCCTGAAACTGTTTCCACCACGGATGGACAAATTCGTGAAATTACCTAATTTTGATTTGAGCGACTGCCTCTGCTCCCTCAGCCACAACACCGCCCACTCCAAAAATACATAAATAAATCACTTAAATGGTTTCTTTCTTTTCATTTTTTTTTTATATTGTATCCGTATCAGTTGTGCCAACTTGTTGGGAGATATTCCAAGTTAACTCAACTCTTAAGGAAGGGATCTCTACGAATTTTAACAGAGTCAAAGACACGCTGCAATAATTTACTCTCTGAAGTGGGGCAGCAATCATAGCCTCTCTTCCTAACCATAACCGACATGTGCAAAGAGGATAACTATCACCGAAGCATTGAATGGCTCACCCGAAAGACTCCAAAGTACTAAATTGCAGCTCCGCCGACCCGACTCCAAAACAAGCCAATACCTCAACCTCACTTTCTCCTCTTGATGAATACTTTACCTCGTAACTCGTAAGCCCATTTCCCTCCCTCTCTCTTGGTTTCCTCTCACATAAATACACGCTGCCAAAAGTTCCTTGAGATAACTACAACCAAGAGTCTAACGCAGAGGACTCTGAAAACTTAATGCCTTGTGGCCAAAGGTCTCCAAAAATGCTCGCCATGCTGAGCCGCCATCACACCTCGAGCCCCTTATCCAACCAGTGTGGCTCGAACCAGGTTCAGATCATAGACGCACCACTGCCTCTGGTTTGGTCCCTGATCAGGAAATTTGATCACCCGCAGCGTTACAAGCAGTTCATAAAGAGCTGTAACATACTGGCTGGTGATGGTGGGGTTGGCAGTGTGCGTGAGGTTGAGGTTATGTCCGGCATGCCAGCCGGAGTTAGCTTGGAGAGGCTGGACAAGCTTGATGATGATCAGTATGTGATGAAGTTTAGCATGATCGGTGGGGATCACCGGCTTTTGAATTACAGGTCCACCATCACTCTGCATGAGGAGGATGGTGAAGGATTTGAAGGGAAGACGGTGGTGATAGAGTCGTACGTGGTGGATATTCCGGCAGGGAGCAGTGGGGAAGATACTTGCTCTTTCGCCAACACTATCGTAGGTTGTAATCTAAGGTCGTTGGCTAAAATTACAGAACAGATGTTTTGTAAGACTGACACTCACTGAGGATGTCATGGTTTGCTTTAGATTATTAATTACCATGTTTGTTGTGTTTGTGGTGTTCACTATACTTGATGAATTGGGTCTTGAACTGATTAGTGTCTCGTGGATTGAATTTCTATGTAGGATTTATCTCTGTGTTTGTTGTGCCCGATAAGATTGTAAAAGCAAAAGGCCAAGGAACCTCATGGATATCATGTTACAAGTTGTGAGAATAGTCGGTATCATTTTGGAGCCGTGCTGCTTTGTGGATACGGTGCTTTTCGTAGATATTTTCACCCACGACCCAACCATTTAAATGTTTGACTCAGAACATTAGAACTTGTTTACAATTAATTTACCTGACGATGTGTCGTTATTATGTTTTGGTGAAACTTGTCATTGTCAAAATTAACATTCGGATAAGCTCAACTTCACCAAATGAGCATGTTATTTTTTTCACTCCTAAGCTGAGGTCGCGTGCAGGCACCTTCCTATCTCTTTATGCATCATCGATGAGAAAAATAGCGCAAAAATCTTGATTCAAACAGAAGAGAACTGCAAAGGAGGGGTCTTAAGTTGTCTTGAGGAAACCTTATCCTGCGGCCTGCAATTAAAAAATATCACAGGGATTGCGGTTTAATTTGTGGATTTTAGTTTATGGAGCTAATAATTGAGGGTCAGTGTGTAACTTGTTTGGTGAGAAGGTCATCTCATGGGGACTTTAGAGGGGCAAATTGTGGTTTGCATGTCAGTTTCAGGTCAGAAGCGGAATTTAGGAAGCTTGCAAGTTTGAGAACTACTCACAGTCACACAGCAGAAATTCCATATTGCGAAAGCAATCATATTCTTTGATCCTATGATTACTGCAAATTCCAATACTTCATTCTCCTTGATTACATTCCTTTTCCTTGGTGACGGGGTTTCTTTTCAGCATCCACTCAACTTTTATGAGGATTATTATATATTACGAGTATTTTCGGTCTTAAATAGAAGAGCTAGTGGATTAATTTAAGTAGATTAAGAAAAATCAATTAAGTTAGTTATTTGTAATAAATAAGTATTATCTTTCTTAAAATATCTTTATTAATCAAATTTATTAGTTAGAACTACTATTATTATAATGACAATCTAGAGAAAAAAAAGATAAATGTGAGAGACATATTGGATTTGGTTTTATATTTATGATCAAAATAAAAGTTAAATGAGTTCTTATATTAAGAACCGGAGGTAGTATAATTTTATTTATTATAATGATAGTATTCTCCTCCATAAGAACAGTCTAAAAAAAGTAGCTTTAACTTTGGAAAAATTGCAATAAAATATCGAAGAAGAAACATATTCAACAAAAAAGTCATGTAACAATAGAATATTTTGTAAATAACCGATTTCAGAATAAAAAATAAAAATAAATTTAAGCTATTTATTTGTAAATAACGATTCAAAACCTTCAGTTAGAAAGTGAGGGGGAAAATCTGGCCCAAAATAAAAAAAAGGAAAGTGAGGGGAAAAATACTCCGACAAAAAGAAATGGCGATACATTTGGAATATTTAATAATATTCGTTTCTCTGGTCTGCTTTTGCCTCTCTCTTTTTTCCCTATTAAAGATCCAAACATCAAAGGTATCTTCGTGACAGCATCAAAATGTCTCAATCGTGCGCTTGAATGACCAAACATATACAAAATTTGTCGTGTTTAGATCCACAATTTGACAACTTAATTTTTGCATAGAAAGCTATAATAAGTAAAAACGCAGAAAGAAGAAGTTAAAAAAGAGTTGAGTTCTATTTTTAAGAAATTTACTATTTTCTCTGTTATATTTCTCTGATCCTATTTATAAGGTACTTCTAACATGTTTCACACGGATCAAGAGAAATCTTAAACTGTATTAATTCTTCATACAAATATAGCAACTTTCTAACTTTACCCTATTGAATATATGCACCTTTCAAAAAACACAACTATCTACATTATAATAAATGAAAGACAATATATTATATTGATGCCAAAAATTTAATGAAGTGACTTATAATAGGACCAAAAAAATCTTCTCTCTCTGCCCTATAAATAGAACTGGATGAGTAATATTCAAATAACTAATTTACAGATAACAAAAAATTAGTTAAAATTAATTAAAAGTAATAAATAGATTATAGATATACTTTTGATTTTAAATATGCCCTTATAATAATGAGATAAAGGATAAAAAATATACGGGAAAATATAATCAGAGTATTGCAAAAGAGAGAAAATAAAATATATATTATTTAATAAAATTTATATTATTTTTTATTTTTATAACTAAACTTACTTTTTCAATGATAATCTAAACAACTTCACTTTTATAAACTGACTTACAAAAGTTAATCTAAATATAAATCATATTACACAGTCTAATTTCTTAAAAATCAAATTAAAAATATTTTTTTAATCACTAATTTAAACAGGCCCTAAATGAAACTGTTTAAGAATTGAAGATTATAAATAGGATCCAACTCGTTAATACTAAATTACAAGACAAATCAGCTCATGGGCCATATTAGTGTGAACAGCCTGGAGTCATACATCGGTTATTTATCTTTCCATCCAGCCCACGCATTACAGCCTTTTATATGCTCCCAAAATTATGGATAACATATTTTTGGAACAAATTGGAAACATTAATAAATCTCATTAAACATTGCTGGTAAAAAGAAAAACTCATTAAACATAATTAAAAACCATAATTTTTTTTCATAAAAAATAAAAAATTCGAAAAACACCCTTCATTTTACGCTAAACTCTAATTAACTTCCACTTAATTCAAGGAGGGTAACTTTGGATCAAGGTTATTAATAACTCACTGTTTTCTCCAAAATATCTTAAATTATGAACCAGGAAATCATTCCAAAATATATCTCATAAAATCGAAGGGAAAAGGAGATCACACTTTTTTAAATTTCATTGAATGAAATGAAATTTGATATAGAGTTGCAACCTAACAGCTCCTTTTTTTTCTTTTTTTTTTTTTAAGTTCACCTTGTTTCAACTTTCGACTAAATATAGTGATAAATAACTAGACAAACTCCTTTACAACTTCTTTTAGTTCTTAATATAAAATCTAATCTGTAATTTAAATTAAATTATATACTAGATTTTCTATTAAAAATGAAAGTAATATATACTTCTCTAGTCCTATTTATAGGACAGAGAGAGAAAGTTTTTTTTAGTCCTATTTATAAATTATTTCATTAAATTTTTATCATAAATTTACTATTTTATTCTTTATTTATTATAATATAGATATTTTTTAAAAAAGTGTATATATTAAATAAAAATAAATTTAAAAAATTATTATATTTTAATATAGAGTAAATACAATTGAAGATTTTTTTAATATGTGTGAAATATGTTAGAAATACTTTATAAATAAGATAAAACACACGCATACATATATATCTTCTGGCGTTTCGGGGCCTCAATGCGTTTCTGATTGGGCCACGTGGAAGTTCCTGCAAAGTGCATACGACAACCAGTGAACCACAACGTATTGAATCATATCGTCCGTTTAATGAGCAAAACGACAAACGTCTGATGCTCTCATATAAATGCTGGCATCGGAGAGTGGTCGCTGTCCCCTGCAGCTTGGTGAGGGACCAGAATACGAAAATGGCAGAGCAGCGGACAGAACAAAGAAAAAAAAGTCGAAAGCTAAATGTTCTCTCCTTCACTCCCCTCTCTTTTCCCCGTGAACTCAATACGAAGATGGGAGAGTTAAATCCCGTGAACTTTGTCGCTCATTCATAGTCATCTTATTTCCTCAGGAGTTTTGATATCTTTTTCTCAACCAACGTTTAAAATTATTTATAAGTAATTTTTTAATTATAATTTATGAAATAATGTTGATCCAAAGAGCCCCAGTGGTTCGATTTTTGGCCAATCATTTCATCATCGCATGAGAATATAAATAATGGTAAAAGATTCTTCAAGTTTCTGGGTTTGATCTTTCTTGAAGCTCGCCGATGATTTGGTCCGGAAAAGAAGTAGCTTGCAGATGATAATACTCAGTGCAGGACGCAGCACAACATCAATATTATTCAGTAACAACCTGACGCACCACAGAGTTGCAGAGCCGAAGGATACATTATTTATTAGTAGAGAAGACACGTGACTATGTAAGTAACATGTCCAACTCCGACACAGCAACACAGAAGCGTGGCTTACGTACGACATACACATAATACAAAAGTACCACGAAGTAACATAGTTAGTCTAGACCTGGAGGACAGCCCCATAGGAAGTGGATGACGATGACGAAGAAGAGGTGCTTTGCGTTGGGTAGCCAACAGCAAAATTAAGAGCACATACGCCATAAGGCCACCCAGCGTTCCTCTTGATCCTTATGTAGCCTTTCTCTCCCCAGTCTTGTCCCCATGTGTTCTTCACTATCCAGTAATCTTCCCCATTCTCTGTTCCGTATCCCAAGATCAGCACCACCAACGTGGCTGTCGTCGAATTCTTATCGCAGTTGTCGCCTCCATAGATTCCCTGCTCAAATCGCCCCAACAAAAAGCAAAATCAATCTTCTTTTCATGTCCCATGCTTCATGGTACAGAATAATTAAAGATGTGGAGGTCACTTACGCCAGTGTAAAATTGAAAATCGACGGCATTCACACTGGTGGTGACAGGCTGCTGAGCAACGGCACACAAGATTGCATCGTCTGTGCCAAATACAATAGCGGACAGGTCACTGATACTGACAGCTTTTTTTCCAGGCTGCTTGAAACAGAAAGGAAGAGAGTCCAGAATTTAATTTAGTTTAAGAGAGACAGATTAGCTAACTTTTTAATAACAAGGCTAGCATATAGCAGAAGGAACGGAAATCAAGACCTGGCAAGAACCGTTGGTGGCTGTATAAGGATAATCAGCTGCTGTATCTATGCCACCATTATCTATAACCCAACCAAATGCGTCGAAGTAGAATCCTCCCGCACAACCATGGCTTTTTGGGTCACAGTCCACCAGCTGTTGAGCTGAAAGTTCGATCAGCTTTCCCGTGTTTATCGCATTTATTCCTTCTATGGCTCCCACCACGGAGAATGCCCAGTGGCTTTCTACAATTATCACACATTAAATCAATGGTCATTAAACTAAGTGCTCTCACCATTAAAGCCTGATTACTTCTACCGCAAAAAAAAAAAGAAGAAGACAGATCATCATACCACAGTTTCCTTGGTCTTTAACTGGAGTGACAGCATTCTTTTGTCTCCAATCTAGAGAATCAGGCACGTCATGATCACAGGAGTCGTCCTTCCTGAAATTGGTAGCAGTG